AGTGTTCAATGGCTCAGCCAATCAGATTACAGCATTTGCATTAGTATACTACTAGAATTCTACTAACTAAAGATAGAAAAAGAACTTAAAGTATGCGACCTGACATTTTAAGTCCTAAGAGAACCATATTGGGCACTCTACACCACCAAGAAGATTATTTTAATTTCCCACTGCACCAACAGCTTGCTTATCAAGCTGTAGTTTAGGAATAAAGTGAAACTACATGTATATAAGTAGTAAGGGTTGATTTCGACAGAAAAACTTTGTTACATGGGACTAACGTCACGCAAAAATCGCATGCGACTTTAATCATGGAACATTGTACAAGGCTACAAATGTCGCATGTTTAGAAACCAAACAACTGAAAAAAATTGGTTTACCTTCATCAGAAATGACACTGATACTACTTGTACGACTGTTAATTTCCATTCTATCTTCTGAAAGACTCTTTCTGGACCCTGTTTGACTAACACTGGGAACTGAAAAGGAATTTTAAAAGACACTTATTATGTAAAATGATACTGTCACCTGCAGGTTTCAAAGATCCTGCAAGATCTTTAAGGATCTTTCGAGATCTTCAAAGAGCTGCCAAAGAGTATTTCTACTCCCCCCTGGATGGGATGCTAGTCCATCGCAGGGTTACCCCCAGCATTAGATTTGCCGGTACCCATTTATACACCACGGTGGAGAGAGGCACTGTGACAGTTAAGCGTTTTGCCCAAGACCACAATGTCCCTGGCCAGGGCTCAAACACGGACCGCTCGATCCGGAGGCAAGTGCACTAAACCATGAGGTCACCGTGCCTCCACAAAAATGTTATTAAATCCCTGAAGATAGAAACCCATTGATTTGAAAGCAAAAAGAGCATGTTAGAATGTACAAACCCTGATCCGGTGGGGATTCAGCTGATCCTGGTAAATTAACAACAGCTTCTTCCTCCTGTACATGAACCACGTGATCTATTGCTGGTAACCAATCTGGCAGTGATCAAGATGACATTATATCTATGTTACTGAACTAGCGCCAGGTCGATATTGGTGAAATAATGTTCAAGTTATTTTTTGGTGGGTTTATGACTATTCCATTTTCCAAGCCTCTATCAGATAGCAACTACACTGTATGCTGTTTAATTTTCAAGTTATTTGATTTGCCATTTTCCAAGCTAGCTTCATTTTTAACAAGTTATGAAACAGGTAAAATCGTGCTTTACCAAGTAAAGGTCAAGTCTGTATACAAGCCAAGTGGCCCATCATGCTGGAACCTATCCCAGTTTGCGAAGCATAAAGCAACTAGGAGTATTTCTACTCCCCCCTGGATGGGATGCTAGTCCATTGCAGGGTTACCCCCAGTAACAAGTTCACGGGTACCTATTTATATACCTGGGTGGCTTGATTCCAGAGCACTTGATCCAGAGATGAGCGCACTAACCACGAGGCCAATGCACCTCCCAAGAAAAAAGAAATAATAATAAAAAAAAAAGAAAGAAAAAAGAAACAAAAATTACCTTCTCCACCTAACTGTCTCAATTTCTTAAGTTGCTCTACTTCATCAGCATGCTCCAGGGTCTGTTCTGCAGGTGCTGGATCAATGCAAAAATAAAGAAAGGTGTCAAGAATGCTTATGGTTTATTGTTGTTGGCTTTCATATTAAAATCTAGCATAGGCCACAACTCTTGGTGTGCTGGGCTAAGTCACATTAAGCAGACTCAAACAGTGATCTCACTTGTGTAAGATGTGGATGAAAGAAAGTCTTCAGTAACTGACACTTCATTGTCGCCATCAAAGTCAATTTCTCTGGCCACCACTCTTCGACCCTTCTTGGTTTTCCGCTGTAAATAAACATTGTATTATAACCAGTAATAATTAATTGAATGCTTCCATATTGTTACTGTACATGCAGTATTTATCAGTGATTAATTTGATTACCCGATTAAGGGCTGGGCACCAGCCAAATTGACCAGCTGTGATGATGATTTTGCCCACCTGGTTTGACCATCTACAGGAAAGTTTTTCTTACATAAAGAAGGGCACCTCAAAAAGTTTTGCCCGCCTATCAAAACCAGTTACCCTCCTACTGAAAACATTAAATGAAACCCTGGGTATGTACTAGTTAATTGTTATTAATATAAATAACAAAAATGTTACAATGAGTTTCATTACTTTAGGTTTCCTGTGTTTAGGTCCTGGATCAGACTCTTCTTGAGACTCTGATGAATCCAGTGAATCTTCAGCTACTTTCTTGATCGCGCTAACGCGGGGATGAGACAATGGTGATTCTGGAATGTAGGAAAGCATGGAAACTGGATACACATTCCTGCCGAGAAGCTGCAACAAAAAAAAAGCCAATAGTAATTGAAGGTAAACAAGAGGTCCGATTACTGTATATCCCATCAAAGAAGTTTCAATGGTATATTGTATTACAACAATTATACATCTAATGTGTAGAACAAAAAAAAAACAGTATCACTCTTTGTCACTTAATAATCAATAACGGGATACCAAGGACTATGATCTGAATTTCTCATTAAGCTCAGTAATACTTCATGAAGTTCAAACAAAGGAAATTATGACTGCAATGGTGTTTGGATATCTGATTTTAATATGCATAGATTTTTATGATTTTCTTTCTCTGCTTTCTCCTTAGTTTTAGTTTCGATTGACAATAATACTTCACTGTGTAACTCTCTTCTTGGTGTTTAGAAATGTAGCCAAACACAGTCTTTCATGTTTGATATCTATTACTCCTAAAAAACAGTCATTGTTGATGTCGTTGTTAGTCAACTTTCTTCTAAGAAGACAAGACAGTGTAACTCACAACTTGCTCTTCTGAGTCCAAGGGCTTCCCATCAATTTTAACCTGTAAATGATAAGTTACATGATAAGTGATTTGTATAATAAATGTCCATTAATACCTTATTTATTAGAACACATTAAAAAAATGCAAATCTAATACAACGCAGAAAGACCCAAACTGCCATCAGGCTGCGTCTACCCTGTGAACCGGCGAAATACCTGGTCAGTGACAGAACCAAGGCTGATACATGTGTACCATGTAAACCAGCAGCAAATAAACTCACTTTGAGAGTTTTTCATTCGTGGTCACTCATAGTCACAAGTATATTGCATACAGTGTGTCTATTGATGTCCTGGCTAAGAATTTCATGTCATGTCAAATGAACATTGACATTGAACTACTTTTAGCAAAAATCATTGAAGACTAACCAAATGTAATTGGAATATTTGCGATTTCAAATCTCTTTGCAAGATTTTTTAGCTAAGTTAGTATTCTCTATCATTAAATTCCTTAAAGATCAGAAACAATTTCTTTGATTAAACTCACTGGTTCAACTCTTGGTATGGGATACAGGCAAGCAACTGTAGCACGTCGATAGTATGGACAGAACACAACAGGGTTCCCTTGAAGGTTCAACTAAAATAAACACAAAAATATAATACAGATTGTTAAGGAAATGACTAATGAATGGGAAACGAAATTGAAAACGACAAACAAACAGAAACAACATGTTTGCATGATGTAATTGTTTCAAAATTGCCTGTCTAAAGGAATAACAGTAATATTACTTACTGATATGAGGTCATGCAGAAAAGCCAGGGGTGTTAATTCTGATAGGGATGCTATGCAGTTAAAAGACACATCAAGGAATCGTAACTTGGAAAATGCCTGGAGACCTGTTCACAGATAATCAGAAAAAAAACTTAGCACATGGAAAGGAACTCTGCATAACATTCTGGCATTCATTTACATGTAAGCTTTTTATACAACAAACCCTGCAAATTCTGCAAGTTGTTATTCTTGAGGATAAGTGTTGTCGTGTTGTGGAAGATTGTTGCTCCGCCTTGCGCTGGTGGCACAGGGATACATTCCATCTGGTTATATCCCAGGTTCAAGTGCTGGATGTCAGACAGATACTGCAAAACAACACAAACGGAGATTGTTTCAATAAATTATCTTTGAAAAGATAGAAAGATGAGGGAAAGTATATAGATCAAAGTGTCTCTCTCTGGGTGTATAAATGGGTACTGGCAAATCAAATGCTGTGGGTAGCCCTGTGATGGACCAGCATCCCATCCAGGGGAGGGTAAAAATATTCCTAGTCACTTCATGCTACTGAAACCAGAGATAAGTGCCGGCCTGATGGGCCACTTAGCTCACATGGAGACTTAAGTTAACCTTTTTATAGATAAATTGTAGTCTCACCTTCCAGTTAGATAGTGATTCATCCCCTTCAGCAACATGGATGCAGTTATGACTCAAATTCAACACTCTCACAGCTGGCAAAAGTTTCTAAAAACAACAGCATCAATGGCAAACAAATGATCACTTTTAACATGCTACGCAATTTAATGAGGTTCCTGTATCTGTACAGCCTTTGGTGTTGGATAGTTCAAAGAACTTATCTACATGGACTCTCTGCCAGTTCAAATTTTGACCAAAGAAATTGCTTTTAGAAAGCAAAACTTCATAAGGATTGTCAAGTGTAAAAGCTATTTCTCAGTCTTACTATCAATAATATGTTACAGAAGTATGAAATATAAAAAGTAATTATATTAAAATATGATCTAGTAGACTGTACAAACCACAGAGTCGTCCACTTGTACAATTCCATTGTAGCTAAAATCCACATTTTTCAGATGTGGCCAAGCAGATGGGGCATTCAAACGATCTCCACCACAATGTACCAACACTTCCTGTTTTGATTAGCAAACACTGTTTTAGTTTATTAATTTATTGTACATGCAGAAACTTGTCTGAAGTTAATTACTAGGTCTGGAATATTTCTTTCGGACCTCCTTCACAAAGATTACACCCAATGTTGACTAGACTTCTGGGGGTGAACTCCTGTAAATTTTGGATAGGTGTGTGCTGTATAGGCTGACCACATTTCAAGGACGAAGCAAATGCAAATTGATACCCTGTTTAAGGCACAAACCGGAAAGATGACACCCTGTTCAAGGGCCAGCTTTAATTCATTTCTGTAACATTGGAAGTTACACATCAAGCATAGAATTTGTTTTTTTATTCAGCTGGGCATTTATGCACAGGAATTTTTCACCTGATACAATTTAGGTACCTTATCTTAGGATTACACCAAGAATACAATGCCAACAGGGACAAAAATCATACCCTATTTGAGGACCGGCAAGCTCAAAAAGCATGCCCTATCCTGTGACAAATACCTTATTATATTTTAAAATTTTTTATATATTAGCCCATATATGGGAGTACCCCTCCCAGGATTGGACCCTCCTGTTATGTGTGCTTGTGAGATCCTCACCAAATGTTTTAAGAAAAACAAAACTGGTTTGCCCATGCACACAGAAAAAAAGACTGAGAACAGCTGAACATAAAAGCACTGGGAGTGACGCTAAAAGGTCAAAGGTCAAGAGGGATGCCCAGGACAACTTGCGGAAGGACTAAAGAGAAGGAGTGGAAAAAGGTAAACAGAACTAAAGGGGGATGATATGAGCTGGAGTGTAGTTTTGGTAGAACAGAATAGGAAGGTTGGCCAGAAAGTATCAATGAGCGTATGTGCCTTTTTTTCAGAGAGGATTACAAACTAAAGTTGAGTATGTTTTAAACATTGTAGCAAATATAAGAAGAGAATGGAGTGAACTTACATTCAGCGAGATCAGTGACCTTGTACATATGAGGGTCTTGAGCTGGGGTCGTAAACTTTGAAATCCTCGAACAAAACCAACTGGGACTTTTTTTATCTGTTGCAATGATACAAGTTTCATTTCAGTAACATGAACATACACTGTAAAGTGTCACAGACTGTGACTTCTGAATATGATATCAAAGTATGGCATTTGGACTTATCTACCTCCAGTATTTGTAATGCTCTGAAACAAGAGATGTTGACCAGACCATCAAAATGGGAACATGTTCCCGGGACTAGCTGATGGGATACAAAGAACAAAGTGTGATTAATTGACATGTTAATCAATATTTGATTAAAGAAGGCTTGTTGTGGCGTTATACAATATTCAGTATAATAATCTAAAACAAGTCTGGTAAGTAAAGCAAGATAGAAAATCAAACTGGTTTACAAATTTCAATTAACAGCTAAAAATCATCAAAATTAAACAAAGCCACCATAATAATTACAATTGACTGGAATATTAATTTTATTTAGCTTTTATGCAGTTAAGAGCATGATTTTCATAAAGCAATATTCCACTTATTTAAGTAAATAAAGTCAGACCCTGTATATGATGTGCGTAAGTACAATGATGGTATCTTATAATGATTAATTCAGATTACCCGTAATGATGGTGTCCTTCTGAGAAAGTCAAGAATGAATGCGATAGCTGCACTGTCCCTGTATGATATTGTTTTCCACTGCTTAGTTTCTCTGTCACCTGCACCTTGCTGAACTACACAAAAGGAAGAAATACATGCAATTCAGAAAAACGTCCCTCAAATTCTAGGCAAGGCTGTCATTTTTAAGTCAACCGTTGTGTTTATCTTCACACCCACAACAAACTTGTTACCTTTTGAGTGACTAAGGTCTAGTTCCCCCAAAACATCAAAGGCCAGTCAAACATACTCTGGCAAAGCAGGTGTTATAGGTTTTCCAGAGTAAAAATACCATGGGATTTTGCAACTTGTTTTGCACATTGTTTGTATTAAATTTTAGGAGTGTAGTTGTTTAGGTCATGTGGTTACTCCTTGACTACCTCCAAATATAAATGGAAACATAACATGGATCTATAATATGCATACAAATTTGTTTGGCAGAGACATCAAAATAATGCAATGCAAACATAAGGTAAGCCACTTTTGTTTAAATTATTTTCTACATGAAGCATTTAGAGTAATTTTTGAAACATTCTCAGAATACATTGACTTATAAATGGCTAAAATTGTAATGCTATTGCCAGCAGCATAATGCCATGTATTAATCATAATTATTCAATGTCTAGGCTGCCTGTGGGCTCACCTGATGCGATATCTTGAAAGCACTGGTTCAGGAACACAAGTGACGTGGCTGTCAAGCACAGCTGACTCTCCTGCTGCAAAATTGGATTTCCTGCAAAGATTTAATTATAAATATTACAAGTGTCGAGGAAAAGGTTGCTGTTGTTCATCGTGGTAGATGCAATAATAAAGTGTATTATCGTTTGTCCCACGATGTAGTCACTTGAGATGTAGATTGCAACGTGTGGACTGCTTACTGCTAGTCTCCTTCAGGCAATGAGGTCGACTAATTACACGGCACCATTTATATCAATGGAACAATGGGAAGATCGAAATGCACCAATCACAGCTGACCTTCGTGATATAAATTGTGCTGTGTAATCAGTCAACCTCATCCCCTGAAGAAAACTAGCAGTAAGCAGTTGAAATGTTGTGATCTACATCTCAAGTGACTACATCATGAGAAAAACAATACTATACTTTATTAATATTACAAGTGTACATGTATATTGGAATGCCTCTGACTGGATTATACGTGGCTATTATTTGCATCCAAGTACATTGCGTGGGCTCCCATGCACAGTACATATATGATCTGTTAAGAACCTCTGACTATACAAAGTCAAGGGAGGATCGGGCGACCTGGGTTTGAAATTAGTGAAAAATAATTCTTATGGACCATGATACAAATCCAATGAAAATGAGTTCTGGTCTGAGTGTTAAGGAAGTTTTGGAAATCAAGGGGTCAAGAAATCAGGATTCTACCAGACAATAATATCTTGCTCAAGAATATAAAACAATGATTCTCAGAGTCTCTCTTACTATAATTTGTAATTTGGAAAATAGGCAAATAATCATGCTGGAAAAAATAACCTGAAATTTGAAACTTTTGGGACTTAAAGTGCTTACAGTATGAAGTAAAAAATAATTGCAGCTTAATTGAAAGGCTTTTCAAAGTTAAGAAGAATGGCNAAATGTTGTGATCTACATCTCAAGTGACTACATCATGAGAAAAACAATACTATACTTTATTAATATTACAAGTGTACATGTATATTGGAATGCCTCTGACTGTATTATACGTGGCTATTACTTGCATCCAAGTACATTGTGTGGGCTCCCATGCACAGTATATATATGATCTGTTAAGAACCTCTGACTATACAAAGTCAAGGGAGGATCGGGCGGCCTGGGTTTGAAATTATTGAAAAATAATTCTTATGGACCATGATACAAATCCAACGAAAATGAGTTCTGGTCTGAGTGTTTAGGAAGTTTTGGAAATCAAGGGGTCAAGAAATCAGGATTCCACCAGACAATAATGTCTTGCTCAAGAATATAAAACAATGATTCTCAGAGTCTCTCTTACTGTAATTTGTAATTTGGAAAATAGGCAAATAACCATGCTGGAAAAAATAACCTGAAATTTGAAACTTTTGGGACTTAAAGTGCTTACAGTATGAAGTAAAAAATAATTGCAGCTTAATTGAAAGGCTTTTCAAAGTTAAGAAGAATGGCATTTTCCTTTTTGAAATATCTTTTTTCGTTTTAGAGATATTTAATATGTTTTTGTATTATGCAAATGAGAAAAGTAATGATGTCATAGGTGGTTCCACTAAAACAGTACAACACTCAATCAAGAATATCTCTAGCAATATTAAAGCAGTCTTCTTTGAACTTGGCACCAGAAATGTACGTCACAAAAGAAACAAAATTAAACCTGTCGTGCCATTGCCATGACAACAGTTATGCCGGTGGTCCTGTTTTGATCAAGACTAAAATTCCCAGATTTTATTTTAAACAAGGATCATCCACTCCCAACAATCTAATGGGGAGAGCTAAGNAAATAATTGCAGCTTAATTGAAAGGCTTTTCAAAGTTAAGAAGAATGGCATTTTCCTTTTTGAAATATCTTTTTTCATTTTAGAGATATTTAATATGTTTTTGTATTATGCAAATAAGAAAAGTGATGATGTCATAGGTGGTTCCACTAAAACAGTAAAACACTGAATCAAGAATATCTCTAGAAATATTAAAGCAGTCTTCATTGAACTTGGCACCAGAAATGTACGTCACAAAAGAAACAAAATTAAACCTGTTGTGCCATTGCCATGACAACAGTTATGCCGGTGGTCCTGTTTTGATTAGGACTAAAATTCCCAGATTTTATTTTAAACAAGGATCATCCACTCCCAACAATCTAATGGGGAGAGCTAAGACAATATGGGAACCGTGTGCATTCCGAGCAAGACCCCTTGTCCCACTTTAAAAGGTTGCAAATGGGGATATTTGGTTTTTCACAGAAAGAGACTGGAGCCAAGAGTGTTGCCATAGCAATGGCATAGTAGGTGCCATTCTGTCTCTTTTGTAATGTTCATTTCTGTGCCAAGTTTGAAGAACACTGCTCTAATATTTCTGGAGATATTCTTGATTCAGTATTTTCTTGTTTAAGTGGAACTATATATGATGTCATCACTTTCCTCATTTGCATAATACAAAAACATGAATATCTCTAAAACAAAAAAAGATATTATTCCAAACAGGAAAATGCCATTCTTCTTTACTTTGAAAAGACTTTCAAATAAGCAGCAATTATTTTTTACTTCATAGGCACTTTTAAGAGTATCTGCCTGAAATTAAGTCAAGCTGGAAAATAAATTGATACAGTAAGCTTAAATCTTAAAGAATAAGGAAATATAAGCTTATATTGTAAATGATCGATAATAAACAATTCTTGAAATTAATATGACTTCTTCAATATGTTCTTACAGCTGGTCAAGTCCGGAATAATTCTTGCTTACAAACTAAAAACTGATTTTTTTTTCCCCGCGATAAAAAGAAAATGCGAACTGTCAAAATATGTTCGAATGTTGTTGCGTGCGGAAGAAGGCACAGCTGAGGTCACCGTCACATGACTAGCACGTCTGTCTGATCTCTACTACGATCGCTGAGTTGGTACAAAACAATTGAAATTATGTATACTCCGGAGTGAAATTAGACTGGTGTATTTATCCACAACAGCTGTGTCTATGTTACGAGTAAAAGAAGTAAAAGAATCAAGGTCTGACTAATTTATATTTAGCTTAAGCCAGTGTGACGCACATGGAAAATTTATACTACAACGCAAGGAATAACACAACACAATATTGACATAAAGAGAAAGTAAAAATTATTTGTACGTACCGTGGGATTGCAACAGAGTTGAAAGCTTGACCAGAAGCTCGTGTCCTCCATGGTATGGCATTATGACGCAACCATGAGAGACTTCAATTACACTCCAACCAGACTTCTCGATTCACTTTGCCGCCATCTTTGTTTCCTTTTGATTCAAAACGAGGTTGAGTCACGCGTGTTGTCTATGTCATGTTACACCAGAAATCAGCATACATGATGTACAAAGCGCAGAAAATTTTACTACAAGCAGTTGAAGTCGAGCGATCGATCGACGGAACAGAAACTAACTATGTCGAAGTCCGTAAAGAAACTTGTAGAGGAAACTAAAGAACAAGGTTATACAGAGTTAGAACTCTGTGACAAAAGCTTGTCTTCTATAGCAGACATCCCTGGATTGAGTAAGTGCACAGGCCATTCTTGAAAACAGAAGAAACTGGAAGAAAGAATTCACGTTCTTTTTGAGTCTAATTTTGTTATGTTTCGTCCTTATATATTCGCTTACNCCTTCTCCTAAGATGGGACACTATTCCGTTGCAGGGTTACCCCCAGCATTAAATCCTGTGGTACTCATTTTATACATCGGGGTGGTAAGAGACATGGTGAGAGTTAAGTGTCTTGCCCGAGAACACAACACAATATCCCCAGCCAGGGCTTGAACCGTAGTCAAGCACACTAACCATGAGGCAATCAATTAATTAATCTATGCCATAACCTTACTTGGTATTCTCTAGGGTGAATCGACTAAGTTCCCTGCCCAGAGGTTTGGGGACGGCTTCTGGTTTGGAAATCCTGGATTTAACATACAACAATCTCAACGAAAAGTCACTACCAGGAAACTTTTCTGTTATGAGTAAGTGACATGTGCAATGAAGCGTGGGTAAGGGTGCGTTCCTTTGGGGTGATCTGGATCAGGATCAGTGATCCAAGATCACTCAGATCAAGGTGCATCAAAGGAACCAATGTATCCACTCTGGTCATGGAGCGTGTTGTAACCTACAACCTGTTCTACATGTACCTTTCATTTTAATATTTTGGCATCTTGATGCTGGCTTCTTCATTGCTTAGCCAATCAAAAACCAAGTTAACCTTGGATGCAAAAAAGAGCATATTGACAGGAGTAAAAAAGCTGCTAGATAATTCCTTGTATTTTTTCCAAGAGGGCACAGTGACAAACCCTGCAATCTGATTGTTTCTTAGCATGGTTCCTATTTTCCTATCCTGTGGTGGTAACACTTTCAAAAGTTTTAAAAGTGATTTGAGAGGAAGCAAAAAAAAGTTAAAATTTATTGGCTTAGGGTCAGCCTGTAGAGTGGAAAACTTTGACCATGGACTTGAAAATCCTGCACTCAGCCTGTGGCCTTAGACAGCATTTTCAAGACCTCAGTCGCAGTTTTTCACTATACAGGCCTGCGAGCCATCAAATAATATATATATTTTCAGTTGACTCTGTCATGTATGCCCTTCTAAGTTGCTGTTCATTTCCTTTTCAGAACAATTACGAGCTCTCTACCTTGGAGACAATGACTTTGAAACCTTACCTCCTGAGATAGGAGAGCTTAGAAATCTTCAAGTGGTAAATTAAATTAACTAATTAAATAAATTGATGTACATTAATCTTACTATCCATTGAGTGATTTTGTTAATAATATATTTAGAACCTCTAATTCTTAGTTCTAGAAAAGAAAACACCATCTTCTTAACTTAGCTGAACATGTTGTTATCTTTTTACAGCTTGTGTTAAGAGATAACGATCTAATTGAATTACCAAAAGCTCTTGGAAACCTTGTACGGCTGAAGGAACTCCATCTTCAGAACAACAGACTTACTGCCCTACCTCCAGAGCTAGGTATGTTGACATTATTTCATGATTCACCATGATCCCACACTCCTACTCGGGCCTGCTTGTTGCCAATTTATTTTTCCCCCAAGAGAAACATTAACAAATTTAAATCACTTTTCTTAAAGATCAACTTGAAATGAGCCACTGTTTGGGGTTTCAACTATTAGATTAAGGCATAGAGTGCATTAATTTAAGGTATCTCATTGGTCTCAAGTGTTTTGCAAAATTTGACCAAACAACACAAGATGAGGGAAGGTACAGTTGCCTCTGGGTTAGTACAGATCAAGCAGTCTGGGTTCAAGCCCTGGCCGTCTGAGACATAATTTGTGTTGTGTTTTTGGGCAAGAAACCTCCACCCAGGGGTATAAATGGATAGCAGCACATTTAATGCTGGGGGTAACCCTGCGATGCACTAGCATCCTATTCAGGGGGAGTAGAAATACAGTCACTCCATGCTACAGAAACCGGGATAAGCTCCAGCCTAATGGGGCTCTTGGCTCATATGCAGACCTTACCTTACCTTACCTTACCTATGCCATCTTTATGGGTGACATCAGTTCCAAACTCCAACCAGTTTCTTTTGGGGTACATGAAAACAGTGACAAACATGTTCACAACTCCTGCAAATTTATACATTATACAATCCTTGCATAAGGGATGTACCGTTTGATACAGTAACTGTAATTTGCCAGTAAACTGCTCACTCTGAAATATTCTCTGTTGAAGGTGAGCTTGACATGGCCAACCCTCGGCATTTGTTCAAAGCAGAAGGCAATGCATGGATACAGCAGCTTGAAGATCAAATTGTTCTGGGTCCTTCACATGTGTTTGAGTACATCAAAACTGATGGATACAAAAGGTTAATAACATATAGTATGTATCTGTTTAAGACCTTCTTCCGAAGCCAGGAATTACCCCCTTTGACAAATTAACAGTATTAGACTGTCGTTCTGTTTGTTAGGGGTAGTGAATGGTAAATACAAGACTTTGCGAGAAAGTCAGACAAGCGTCGAGACTGTGAGTCGCACATAAGCGCTAAAGAAATGAGACTGCGAGACCCATGAAATTCAATGAAAGTTTTGCAAGACACATGGTTTTTGATGGACCATTCTCCACCCCTTTTGTTATCAGGTTCCCTTTTCCCCTAACTCTTAATCTTGTTGTCTGTTCTTAGTTTGTATGAGCGTCACATTACATCAGGTGCAGCTCCTCCACCAAAGAAAGAAAAAGAGAAGACAATGAAGAGAAGCAGAAGAAAGTGATGTCTCTAGCATACCTTAGTAAATTCTGGTCGTGCCTGTTATGGTGTTTTTCGACCTTATGGATTCTAATATAATTTTTACAAACCAAGGAGTTTGAACTTCAAGGTGCTTGACATTTTGCGAAACAGCTGTTGATGTTGGTGAAGCTGGTATCTGAATGCAGCAATCAACCCCATCCTTTCCCTCCACAGATTTAATTTCCAAATGAGGACACTATGTAAAGTCTTACAATTTAATGTAGCAAATTATTGGTGTAAAGAAACAAAAATACTTATGTTTTTACAATAGATAGTGTTTTTTCAATATATAAATACAACTTCTCAAACTGTATAATATGTATTATGGTCTGCAGCTAAATAATATTACATGTAAGATAAATGTTTTCTGCAGTTTGTGTAAACTTTAGCAGTGGAAAGGTCGGAACATCAAGACCAATAAATATGATTATTTTCTTAAAATAGCAACATTTTTTATTTCAAAGTGAATAAACATTCAAATACTTAAAACAAAGTACAATAATAATTATTATTATTCTGCTATCGGTGTTGACTTTTTTGAAGGTTAGCAATAGCAACATTTTTATTTGCTTATTTCAAACTTACTAACAAAAGTGAGGAAACATCAAAAGTAGAAGGAGTCTGTGGTTAAGCAACTTATGACAAAAACTGTAATTCTGGTTGTCAGGTCTCAGTGAAGAGATTCCAGCTAAAATATATTTTGTACTTGTTGCAAATCCAAATATATTAAAAATACAAATAGCACACAACAATCATGAAAACTCAGGTCAATGTCTGTGATATCACTCTTCTTAAATATATTACACAGTTGTCTTCAATTCATAAGGAGTCTGTGTTTGTATGTTGTATTTTCTTGGTGTTTGTCCAGTGTCTTCTTTCTTGTCTGGTTCTGCTCTGTCGTTAAGTTCTTGCTCTGTGATGACAAGCTCATCTGCAGTAGTGACAGGAAAGTTGTTTGCCAAATGGTGAATTCCTGTTGCTAGAAGCGCACCAATGATTGGGCCAAACCAGTAAACCTGGAGGATGAGAAAAAGAAACTTGATTACTGTCTCAGGTTCTGATTTAAACACTAGAGATCCTAGAT